TGGTTAGCAGTCAAATGCCTTAGGTACTATGACACCAAAGCTCCCAATAGCAAGTGAATAAAATCTCATTGCTGACGAAGGAAAGAGAAAAAGCTCAAAGTAATTCCCCATGACTTCTAGGTAAGGTGTCAACTTATAAAATATCAATATTGAAGGGCATTTTTGTTTTACAGCTCTGCCTTTTTCTCTTGTAAGCATGCTTGTCACCCAGGGACTAGTCTACCAAGGTAAGATTCAGTATTTGTTGAGTAACATAAGAAAGCCCAGTTTTCTATGGCCTTCTGACAACTTTTTGGTGCTTGGCATTTGTTTTTTGGAGAAGGATTTGTTTATTTTTGCCTGTTTTCAACCTAAGTGCCTATTGTAGGAGAGTAATGGCTCCCCAAAGATGTGCTAATTCTCGGGACCTGTGAAAATGTACAAGGCCTTGGAGAAATAAGGTTGCTAATCAGCTGACTTTAAAATAAATGATCCTACATTGTCTGAGTGGACCCAATGTCATCACAAGAATCCTTAAAAGTAGGAGAGGGAGTCGAAAGGCAAAACCAGAGAGATGTCAGAGTGATAAGGACACACAGCCCAGTGATGGTGGGTTTGAAGATGGAAGAATGGGGCCATGAGCCAAGGACTGTGAGTAGCTGCTAGACACTGGAAAGAGCAAGAAAAAGAATTCTCCCTTAGATCCTCAAGAAAGGAATGCACCTCTGCTAATACCTTGGTTTTAGCCTAGTGAGACCCATTTTGGACTTCTGACTTCCAGAACTGTAAGATAATAAATGCATGTTCTTTTAAGCCACCAAGTTTGTGATAGTTTGTTAACAGCAGCCATCAGAAACTAAAACTAATATAGTACCTTTCTCTGTATGAGAGACCCTGTGTCTCTCAGGGCCTCTGCATATGGTGGGCAGATTGTTCACTGCACAAGGATGATCTGAGGAGTGGAGAAGGGGAGCTAAAATGCAGCCCATGCTCTGTTCCCCAAGCCATTTGTCCTGTTGAGAGGCTGCATCTGCCTGAGGAAGGGCACCCTGTCTAATTTGTGTTAACAGACTTGGAGCACTAACAGCCACCTTTCACCTCTCCACACAGACCTCTCTCTGCCTCACAGAGGTTTCCTTTATTCCTATCTTTCCTTCCACATTCTCTTTTTCTCTCTGTCTCCCCCTGACCAGTAACCCACAGACATTTCTTAGTCTCCAGGTGAAAACAAGGGAACTGACCATGTAAAGCCCATTTTGTTTGAGTATTACTAATTAGTAGAACTTTGAAATATTATATCCAGTAAACATGAGAGAAGTTGTTCTCATCCTTTTCTGGGTCTCAAAGACCACAGGTCTCATGTATCTAGGAGAATCCCACTTGAATCGTTGTTATTATTATTGTCCATAAAAATTGTTTCATTTTTATAACTTGAAGATAGTCTTTTTGTAGAAATATATTCATCAGTCTGAAAAAAAACCTTTAGCAGACTATTTTTTTTTTTTTTTTTAATTAGGATTTGGGTGAAGATTTACAGAGTAAATTCACTTTTCATACAGCAGTTCACATATACTTTGTCTCATGTCATTGACCAAA